GTGAAGCCCGGGGAATAGCAGTGTTGTTCTTTTCAGCTATAAGCATACTCTTATCTTGTGATTACTATCCTGTCTACTTGTGCATCACTGAATTTTCACACAATATGGTGTCAGAGCATTAGATACCAATAGTAATTCCATCGCACCTAATCCTACTGACACTGCATCGCATATCTTGGGGTGATAGAACATCGGATAGGCCCATCCGATACAAATATCTTGGCAGTGACTCCAGGAGCACTCCCACCCATCACCTAGGTAGTCACAAGTGTCTGTAGTCTTGTGGTAAAAGCCAGCACTCTAGTATGTGATTTGGGAGGTTGCAGGTTTGAATCCCGCCAGACACATGGTCATGTTTGTCTGTTCCTACAGTGTACTGTGTACAGTAAGCAGCAAGCCTTGCTGTACAGTAAAGCTAGCCTGGGCCAATATGAGGTTCCTGGCCGCAACACAACCCCAGGATACTGGTACTCGGCTGCTACAATATCTCGCCCTTCCCCTACCAACCCGGCACCACCAAGAAAATTGCCTCGCATAGAGGCATGCTATGTCACATAGCAGGCCAAGATGTGATGCAATAGGTCTATTTTCCAAGGTAGGGACCTTGAAAAATGGTCCATAGTATCACATGAAGACATGCTATGTTACATAGCAAGCCTTCATGCGCTGAAAATATGTTGGCAGTGCAGCAGACTCTTTTGATGGGATATGTGTATTTGTTTCTGGTGTCCACACCTCAAAGAGTATGGTCACCATCCAAGGAACATAAGGAATCAAACTGTTACACCTCAAGTGTTTGCTAGACATCTAAACTTTGAAACTTAGGCCTACACCACTACAGAATGATGCTCTAAAGCCTGCTAATGCTGCATTGTCTTTAAAAATTAATACTCCAGGATGATCATAACTTCAAGGGCCATGAGGTACTGAGATTGGTGGGTACAAGAAAGGTGAATTGTCTCAAGCTTTGGATTACTTAATGACAAGATACATTGAGATTTGAAAGTTGACCTTAGAGTTTTTTTCCAACACCTTTTTCAAGATTTTTAAAGTCTCCTCACTCCTTGATGTGTAGTGGTATGAGTGAAAGGATTAAACTTGATGACTTTTCGAAAAAAAAAAAAAAAAAAAAAAAAATACCTAAGGATATTGAGAACTATGGGGGCACATGCGAGCTGTAAACAAAATCAAGACTCAGATAGAATGCTGATGAGTTCAAAGAGACGTAACAAGGGATATCTCACAAGCAGTTCAATCAAAAAACTGTGTCATAATGTGGGGTGTTGTCTCTGGGAAATCAACTCACTTTTGGGTAGCAGACAAAGCTAGAGGAAAGAAAAGAAAAAAAAAAAAGGAAAAGCCCTTCTGTGACTCAACCTGGTTATATATCTTGGGCCTGGATTCCAATATCCATAACTTACACTCATTTTCAATTTCAACTGCGCTTTGATGTCAAATTATATTTGAAGGAAACATATAACCTCACTTGCAATCGACTATCGATTGGGTGGTAAGTTTTCCCCACACTTGACTATCAACTCACTGTCTTGGTGTAGAGTACCTGAGTAAGTGTAAGATAAACTTGGTCAAGTGTGTCTTGACGCTACCTCAACTGCCGCTCTGCTTGCCTCAAGATGGAAAAGTTTAATCATCTGATCTATTTTTCATTTTTCCGCTTTCCCACCTCCCACAGTAAACATGCTTTAGCATGATCCGCAATGCCACTCACTTGGTTGTGCACACTATTCTTTTACGTACCTTACCCTTGTTCACGCACGGGTACCTGGCTTGTCTATGGGCAGTTGACGTGACTAACTTTCTCTCTGTAGAACGCGTCAGAGGCGAGGAGAAATAGGTGGAATGCAAACAAAGAGAAGAGTAACCTGACAAATTGATTGTAGGATCCTATTTTTTTTTCCCTTTCTTTTTCTTTTGATATCCAAAGTCGAACAGCATAAGTAAAAAGGCAAGATCATTGGCACTAGATTTGGAGTGTGTGTGATACACAGCCGCAACACAATAAAACATAACCTTGGTAACCGAAAAAAAAAAAATTAATGAAATTTTTGAGCATCCCAGCACATACTCTTCCAGTCGTCAGCTCTCAAATACATCCATTAGCCTTCTTCCCTCGCAAATTCCCGTTCTTGTTAGCTAATTTGGGAGTTTCCTTCTGGGTCCTTGTACCATCGTATCTGAGGTGCATAGTTGGTATGCTCGCGGTCATACCTGTGATTAAGATTTTGGACAATTCGCCCTGCCTCCCAGGCGAACGACGCACCTTCGAAAGCGAAAAGACTTCATAGATCATCTTGGGCACAAGCTTCGCAAAAATCGGAAGACAGTTGCCTTCGACTATAACCAAGGGGAGAAAAACCAGGAAGTGTTTTAGTACACCAAACCGGATGAAACCCCTTTCCCCCCTGTCAACGTACCATCCAACAGGCGCGAATATTCGGAAGGATCTCGATCAAGTCTGAATTCACCGTCCGTGATGCCAATCGGACGCTATAGAATGTCTCATCAAATGTCATTTTGAGACCATCGAGCAAAAAAAAGCCAAAATGAAATAAAAGCTAGTAGCCAAGAGCGCTTACATCTTTCTGTCTTTCCTGATTTTCAGTCTTGACAACCAATCCGCGCAAGTCTGGTATCCAGTGCGCAAGTCGCGCGCCTTCTAACGCATGCTTGAGGTACATCTCCTCACCGTGGGGTGAATTGGCGTCGTACTTTTCCAAGGCGCTCTGTAACGTCTCTCGAAGTTTGACGTTCTCTTCTGATTTCACGGTCGAAGATGGAAGTAGATGATCCAGCGCATGCGCCGTACCATTGACGATCGTATAAGCCAACGTAGCCACTGCCCTTAAACAGTCAGCTGCAAGTTCTTCGGTGGAAAGCGGAGTCGTTTGCGCATCATTCTTGGCTTTCAAAGCTTTGTAGAAAGCCTTGGTGTCCGCATGGGAGTGTTTGATGGACGGTTTACCGGAGAGTGTCTTGATGGAGTCCTCGAGAACATCTAGCACACCCACGCTGAGAATAGATGCCCCCTTCTTGATAAATCCAGTGACCGACTGCAGACCCAGAGATCGACTCAGAAAAAGTTTGCTGACTGAACCAGAACGGGTCTCTTTCTTACACGAACAGCAGCACAAGCCTGAATATGATATTTGATCTGAAAAATCAACCCCGAAGCAGCAACACGGGCGGCCCCCCTCAACTTGAAAGTTATTTGAGGGGATTCGGTAAGATAGCGATAACTGCCGGACAGAAACTTGAGTTAGTGCCGATTGGAAGGTAGAGTATAGAATCATGATCATCAATGGGCACTCACATGTCACTCAATGCGCAGAGAAGAAGTTGCTGAGAGTGTAGGCCAGTTTCCACGAGTCCGAAAATGTGGGCGAGGAAGCCAGTCACCAACGGGGAGCAAACGTCACGCGCGATATCCACCGTCTCATCGCACGATGTTGGGCTTCTTTTCACTGAGCATTGCTCAATGCGACTTCGAATAAAGACCTGAATAGGACTAGCATCTTGCTCCGATATCACCTGTTTGACTGCATCGTAGACGATCTTGATGTTGGAGTTCATGCGAGGCTAATGATAAACGCGAATTTCATTCAGTCAACTTGATAAAATTGACTGACGAAACCGGAAACGAACCAATCCGAAAAGTATGCGCATCCTCTCGATCTCCACTTTAGGCGTGTCTGTTTAAAAGAAGGCAAGTCAGATCAGGAATACGGCAAGACATTTGTCCGCAAAAAGAGCTTACCTGAGAGTTCATAAATCCACGTTTCCCCCCCCCTCTGGACTTGCTTGAATCCGAGACTGGGCTGTGGAGGAGGCTGAAAAGCGTAGTCTAGCGCTTTTTGGGGGCTGATACCCTGCATGTACGAGTAGGAACGGTGAGGGACCAAAAAAGGGACTACCACCAAGAATAACATGTTAGAAGAACAGATGAACGTAAAGCGCAGCCAAAGGTGAATTTACAGAGTAAAGCACAATCATTGAAAGCATATTGATCGGGTCTAATCAAAATTCCGAGGTACTGAGTTAGTTGAATATTGTGATCAGAGGCTTCGAGCTCAGAAGCTTACAAATTGTTTCGGATAAGCTTCTCAAGCATCCCTCCGTAGGCACCATTTCTGAAATCTGATTGACAATCTTGAAAACCCCAGTCGGTCATCGTGTCTGCGGTCGCGGAATCCTAAGGATACGGGAGGAAACTAAGCCAAGTCTTTTCCTGGAGCATTTTTGGAAACAGATTTCTTTTGAGTCTCTTACCGTATAGAACCGATCGCCGCGAACGAGCGCAACGGCATCACTGAGGATCGCACGTGAAATTGTGTAATTAGGACATAAACCTGAGCCCAACCTGGGTTCTTTTGCTTCTTCGCCATGCAGGCCGACGTGCAGAGGGATGTTGGAAGGATGCCCGACTAAATCTTGCATAGCTTTGGCCTGGAGAAGGGTTAGTCGAACGCCGTTTTTTCGGGCATCAGATGAAGAAGGATGACTAAATGCAATCAATGTGAACTCGAGACCAGGAAGAAAGATTTACTACTGATGGATCCGCGTTCCACTCGAGAAATGTCTCAAATTCCTTCAAACCCAAAAATGCTCGGAACTCATTTAATGAGCACACTTTCCACTCATCCCTACAGATATGTCCGATGATCCAACACAATATTGAACGACTGGTAAATTAAAACGCGCTCTTCGTCAACACGCCCGTACCTCGATGTCCGCATCGCTTGACATTCCATCCAACGCATGACGGTTGGTACCTGACGAGCACCAAATGCTCCAGCGACCTCGTACGTCGAGTCCTTCAGGGTCCTCGCCAAGTCTTCGTCCCGAAACTTACCCGTCTCAGGGTCTCTTTCGTAAAAACCTTGGTCGTTCAGCTCGGGAGGCCCCTGTCCAGTGAATTCAACTTCGTATTTAGCCAGCTGGAGAAGCATTCCGGGAATGAAAACGTGAGTTTGAACAGTTGAGAATTCAAGTAGGATGTGATAAGACGAACCTTCCAATTTTTGGGTTCAGATCCAGGCTGAGCGTTCAACTCCTTCTTCAAAATATCAAAAGATTTCTGGAAGAGATCCCCATTCAAGTCCTCCCATCCTACTCAAAGTCATCAACATCTTACAGGAACTTGACTTGGATGAAATTGGATGCGAGCACTCACTTCTACTCGGAAGGGCCCGGGAAATCCTGTTCTCAATCCATTGCTAGACGCGAAACGATGATTAAGAGACGATATTAGAGTCTTGATGGGTTGGAATACCTCTGATCCGACGTACAGTCTGCGTCCACGATATCGGTGCATGCCAGCGATCTGAGA